TACCTAGCAATATATAAATGCTATATCATTATATCCCTTTATTAAGGCCCTTATAAAGCTTTAAATAATCTTAATGGCTAAGGAATAATTTTAAATAATAATAAGAGCTAAATTAGCTTGCATACTTATAAAAGGCCTGAAAATTAAATGAAATGGCTATAATTTAAGTTAATTTAATAAAGTTGCATTTTATAAACAGCCCTTTTTAATACCGCAATTTCTCTTTTTAACTAACTTATCTTAAGGTACCTTTAAAGGTAAATCTTAAATTAGTTTTAATCCTAATGATTTTCTAAGCAAGGGGGCTTAAACCCCTACTTATGTAATTAAAAATTAAGATAAATTTATTAAATTGCTGGTAAAATAAACCGTTTAACTAAAAAACTAGTAATTTTTAATTATAATTAAAAATATTTAACAATATATAAATATTATATTATTACATTAATTATACCTTAAGTAAAGCGAATTAATTATTAATTAATAATAGCAACTTTATTAATATAATATATAATTATATTATTATTAATAAGGAATATAAATATATTAATAAATTATATTAAAGTTAAAAATATATTTAAAACATTTTATTAAAGATATAAAATAAATATAAATTATAAATATAAATATAATTATTTAAATAAATAATGAAAATAATAAAGAATAATTTTATTAATATAATGTTTAAAGCTTTATAATAGTTAATAATAATATAATTAAAATTCTTAATAAATTAAATAACGTTATTATATATAAAAATAATAAATGTTTTTACTTAAAAATTTAAATATAATTATAATTAAAAAGAATTATTATTTAAGAATAATATTATATATATAATAATAATAATAATATTTTATATATATATAATAATAATAATAATAATTTTATATATATATATATTAAATATATTTATATTTATAATATTAATAAAAAATAAAAAATATAATATAATTATTAAAAAAAGATTATTTAATAATTTATTAATTCTTATTATTAAAATTATTAAAAATTTAATATAAGCTTATAATATAATAATTTTATATTTAATTAATGCTTATTAAAGTTTATAATATATTTATATTAAAAAAAGGAAATTAACTTTAAAAACTTTATTATTATTTTTATTAATAATAATAATATTATAATTATTATTTTAATTATTAAAATTTATTATAATAATTATATTTATTTATTTTTTGTATATTAAAATATAAATAAATATTAAAAAAGTATTATTAAAAAATTATATAAATATTAATATATTAACATAAATAAGCTTTTTAATAAATAATATAATTATAAATGAAATATAATAAATTATTAAAAAAAGGTTTAAAGTTAAATAATAAAAGGTTTTATTAATTATAAAGGTATTAATTAAATTAAAATAAAAGTTTTAAATTAAAAGTAAAATAATAATATTATAATATAAATAAAAAGAAAATATAATATAAAAATAAATATAAAATAAAATTAAAAATAATTAATATTAATAAAAAATAATTATAAAATTATTTTAAATAATAATAATAAATATAATATAATAATAATAAATATAATATATAATATTAAAATATTAAGATAATTATATTATATTTATTAATTAATAATTTAAATAACTTATATAATATTTATTATAATATTAAAATATATATAACTTTATAATATAAAATAATAATTATTTAAAACTTATAATAACTTTAAGTTTAATTTTATATAAATATATATTAAAAAAGGAAAAAAGGGTTATATAATAAGCTTAAATTATATTTAAGCTATATTATAAACTTATATTTAACTTTTATTAAGCTTAGTTTTTTTATATAATAAATATATAAAAATAAGCCTTTTTAAAGCTTTTTTTCTTTTTATAATATTATAATATATAATTTTTTTTAAGTATTTTTAAATAATTGCTTAAAGTTAACTTATAATACTTTTTTTATATAAAAATAAAATAAACTTTAAATTATTTAAGGCCGCGTAGCGTACTGGTTATGCGTTTAGCTTTTCTTTATAAAGAGCGTAGGTTTAAATCTTGCAATGGCCGTTAAGACCTTTTTTAGGAATTTTCCCCTTAATTATATTATAGCAAATCGCGGCCTACCTATTTATAACTCCCTTAATTAAAAGGGGCCTATGCTTAAGGCCTTAAAAACCTTATTAAAGCTAATAAAAATAAGTATTTAAAGAAAGCCTTAGGCCTTTAAAACTTTAAATTAACAGCGCCTTAAAATGCACTTTATAATAAAGCCCCCTTATAAAGAGCCTTTAAATTAATTAATAAATAAGCCTTATTATAAGTTTTAATTAACTTTATTAAAAGCCTTGCATTAATAAAGATAACTTTATAACTTTATATTAAAGCAATTATAACCCTTAGCAAGAAAGTAGTAATTCTTTATTAAGTAATTATAAGGGATTTGCTTATAAAAAGCAGTTTTTATTAAGATTAAAATTAAAAAAAAGGATTATTAGGAGAAAGGAGTAAGGAAGAGCTTTATAAATCTTAGGAGAGGTTAAGAAAGGAGCTCTTAATTAAAGGAATTAAAAGATATATTAATTTTTATTTAACTTTAAGGCATAGTTTTTCTAATATAAATAAATTTATAAAGGGATTGCATGTTAATTAGTAAGCTTTATATATATATATATATATATATATATATATATATATTATAGCTTTATATAAATAAAACATTATTATTTAAATTATTTAACTTTTATATAAAAAATAATATTTATTATTTTAAGCTTAATTTTAAAAAATATTATAAAGTTTTAATTATTTAAGTTATTAATAATATTATTTATAATACTTAATAATATTATTAAAAAATAGAGTTTTTAATTTTATTATTTTTAAAAAATAACTTTATTAATTTTTTTATAAATTATCTTAATATTAAAATTTTAATATAAAGTTTTATTTAAAGATTTTAAAAGGTTTATAAATAAGTTTATAAATTAAAGTTATATTTATATTATAAGTTTAATAATTAATAAAAAAGTAAATAATTAAGTTATTAATATTATAATTAAATTAATTAATTAATACTTATTAATTATTAAAAGATTTTTTATATAATATAATAAATATTATAAAACTTAAATATATTAAATTTAAAAATATAATAAAAGCTTAATTATTAAACTTTTCTTATTTTATAAAAATTATATTTTTAATTAATTATTTTTTTTAATATTTATAATATATTTATTAAAATTAATAAATCAAAAGTTATAACTTTATATTATTTTTTAATTTAAAAGTTTTTTTTTAATTTTAACTTTAATAAAAATAATAAATTAAGTTTAAAATTAAATATATTTAATATTTTTAAATAATATTTATATATCTTTATTTATTTATAATAATTAATATTAATTAATATAAAATAAATAAATAAATAAATAAATAAATAAATAAATAAATAAATAAATAAATAAATAAATAAATAAATAAATAAATAAATAAATAAATAAATAAATAAAATATTAAATAAAGTAAATATATTAAATTATTATAAGTTATTATTAATTATAATAATTATTATAAGGTATAATAATAATATATAAATAAAGATTAATAATATTAAAATCTTAATAATTTAAATATAAAAATAATTATAAAAATAAAAGTATTAATATTTCTTAATATTTTAAGATATTTTAAGTAATGCTAAGCTTATAACTTAATAAAGTAATAAAGTAAATAGTAATTAATTATTGTATTAAGGAGAGAATTCTCCCCGTTATTAAATGCTTAAAAGGAGCCTATTTATAGGCTAGCGTTAGCATATGGGCATACGACCCTCGCACCTTCCAACAGTACTTAGTAGGAGAACAGACAAGCCTCAACCTCGGGTTCAACCTGTTACGAGTTTTTAGGTCAGGGAATAAGGATAAATAACTGAGAAAGGTGACTCACATGTCATGTTGATAAAACGTTGATCGCTCTCAGCCATGCAGACATTCTGGGTACTTCTGTTCATCCACACGACCCAGTTATTGCAAGTAGCTGTTGTCTTACCCAAAGTTTTGATTCGCGCGGCATGATTATGGATCCCAATGTTATCAATAAGACCCCATGTTGTGTCGTGCAAGAAGAGCTCTTGGAAGAGAAAACCATCTGGAAATGAGCATTGTCACACAATGGCGGCACAGAGACGAGCCGAGTTGAAAACTCTGTCATGGTCAACTCTGAGTCTAGTGCTACTAAAATTGTCCCAATAGGGTGCTACCTACTGCAAGCGCCCTCGCCCTCTCTTTTTGCAGGCTCAGAAGGTGGAACTTTCCTGCCTGCCTTGACGAGGTGATAGACCCGGCCAACATTTTCGCCGGCAATGGCTTCTGCACCGGACACCCACAAGTCACGAACCCTAACTTTACGGCACCTTCACCATGGATCCAATATCACCATGCGGTGGCGGGTACTCCAACCAAGAGGCGTGGCACTATAGTAGACCCATATTTGGCATTGAAGCACAGCCTGTATCGTAGGTGAAGACACCCAGGTAGTCTGCCAGACAAATCAGGCTGACATGTGTTGGTGGACCCAGCCCTGCCTCGCCCAGAAGGACCTCTCTCAAATTGATCTCCCCATAGATCAACTGCCTAGACTCCGCACCCTACCCTGGACACGAGCGCATGTAGTTCTATGTATCATCTAGCTCCATTGTTGTTGGTGTCTTGTTGGTGGTGGAGTGGTGGAGGTGGCGGAGTGGCGGGAAGGGCCCGGCTGACTAAGCTGCAAAAACCAGCCTTGCCCTTCATCCCGCCCCATCCCGCATCCCACATCCCATATCCCACATCCCACCCAAACCCCCCACGCCAATGTCAAACAGTGAGGGATGGGTGCATGAACAGGATCCACGACGCACCGTTGGGACTGGTTGTGTGCGTTTGTGTGTGTGTGTGTGGGTGGGTGGGGGAAAGGGGCTTAGAACAGAGCCGCATCGTCCGTGCCGACGACCTCGACCTTGACTGCATCTGCTTCAGCCTGTCCACTCGGCCAGGTCCCAGCTCGACACGCCGTCTCGGATAATGAGCCGGTGCTGGTCGATCCTCCACTCGGCGTACGTGGTGCGCACGGCCTTGATGGCCTCCTTGTGCGCAGGCCCGGTGCCTCCCTTGCGCGCGTCTTCTCGGTTGCGCCAGATGCAGGTCGCCAGGTTGCGGAGATTCCGGTCGGGTGTCCCAAACCAATACCTGCCAGCGTCGCAACCCTTGTTAAAACCCGGTGGCAAGGACGGGAGAAGGGGGAAAGCGGGTGGAGAGGGGGGGGGTGAGCGAGGGAGTGAGCGAGTGGTGATTGAGACACAGCACAGGAGAGAAAGAGAGGGAGGAACATACTTGAGGAAGCCTCCGCTGGCTGTGGCCTCCGCGTGTGCGGCCTTGTCGAGGTCGCCAAGGTGGCTGTAGTCGATGCCCTGCTCGTACCGCGAGCGAAAAGCGACAATGTACCACGACGTCTCCCTCCAGCCGTGGTTGCGGGCTGCTGCTAGCTCCCGCACCCGGCCCACCACCTCGTCCCAGTTGAACGTGTCGGCGTAGGCCGCCGTCGCGTAGTCGTCCCGCAGGCACTTGAGCTCAACCAGCGCTTCTCCCAGTATCTGGTTCTCGGCATCCAGGGTCTCGAGGTCCAGCAGATGCTCTGCCTCGGTGTACGGCGACGCCACCACGTATCGCCGCGTGCCGGCAGCCTTCTCGTCCAGGGCAGCCGTCTCGGGCAAGGCCTTGCTGCCTGGAAATACGTCGTTGATGGTCATGTCAACAGTCTGTCTCCGTGCCTTCCGTGTAGAGACTCTGTCTTTGCCGGGAGATGAAGAGGGTGATGTCCAGGAGACGCTGTCGACAGCGAGGTGTCGGTCACCGGCGCAAAATGCGAGTGTGTGGCAGGTGGTGGGCGGCTCGCCTTTTAACCCCCTACGTGTGCACTACGCAAATGGGTGTCTACGCCAATACCTGGGAGCTTGCGTGCGTGCGAGTGAGAGAGTGTGAGAGTGAGTGTGTATAGATATACATGTACGTGACAGGGCGGGCCGCGTACAGTCACTGATCTTCAGGGGAATGCTGCACCGGCGGCAGAGGGCACATAAAAGCCGGCTGACCGTCACAAGGTTTATGACATCTGTCGCAATAATATCGCAATAATGGCGGGCGACGGTCCTGGACCATCCGGGTGCCTCCCAGGTGCGGCCCCAGATGAGCCAGATCCAACTTGTATCTCGTGTAGGGGCCCGGGACCGGCAACGGGGACGGGCTGGGACAAGCAAGCAGCCAAGACGGTGGCCCAATTGGTCTGCTCCAAGTCTACTCGTCCCTTGGGTTAATATGCCACAGCTGCGGCACATGTGTCGAGCCTAGAACATGTCTGGTCCAATACCCACAGTCGCCCGTCTATTTATTAACCTCCACCTCGCCTCACCTCTTGTTGACTGCTCCTCTGTCTGTTTCCCTCTGCTAGATCTGCTCTAGATGCTAGCGCCGAGGCCACTGGGACGCGGCCGCCGACGGTGGTGGTGTTTCACGGTGCGACAGTTCAGACGGCCGTCTCTGTAGGCGCGCAAATCGCGCCATCGCCCGACGGGTTGATGCCACCTTTGGAGCAGACAAAGCCACCAAGCACCAGGCTGGAAGTAATAAGCTACCGGGAATCAATGTGCGTAGGTACCTAGGACCAGTCTGACTCCTTGCGGCATTGCCAGGTCCAGGCACGCCCGGAGACGCTCACCGCCTGGCCCTGCTCTGCATTCCCGAGATATCATCCCTGGGGATATGAGCATGACGCTTCAGGGTTCCCAGCGGCTTCGAGCATGCATGGCCTATCGGGTCGAGTCATTTCCCAACGTTTTTGTCGAGGCCGGCTGGGCGAGACGTGGCAATGCAGAACTGTGCTCTGTCTATCTGGTAATGCGCGCCAGCTGGGGTTGGGGGAATGAGGGGGAGAGTTGGACCCTCGCATCATGCGTGCGCAGTGCTGCTGCGAGCTGCATGCTGTGCCCTGCGTGTGTTCTGTCCTGCAACCCAACTTTGTGACCGAGGCGATCTCGGGAAGCCGTCCGTGACAGATAAGGACATGTTGCTTCCGATGATAGAAAGTGTCCAGTCTTGATGCGACGTGGAACCGCACCGCAGTTGCCTCATTGTCTAACCACGACAGAGCCATTTGATATCATTACATGGTACCTACCCAGGTACCTAGGTGGACTAGGTTACCTAGGTAGGTCAGTCAGTACTCTCGTACTTCCTTCACCTCTACGTACATGCACACACAACACACAGACACAGACACACGCAGAGCTGCGGCCCGGGCCTCGACTCAAATCTGGTTGGCCCACCGCTGCAACACCTATCGCCCACCTGTGACTGGCCCCTCCCCAAATAAGCCCACATCCACGGAGTCGGAGGTGGTCAAGGGCTGGTTTGCAAAGCACTCCTCGCATCCATCGGGCAGGTAAACGTTACCTTCACTGCCTCGTACACATTGTCTCATGGTACATGTATGGCATCTTGCAATGCAGGCTGCTCTGGGTAACGCCGTGCAGTCATGTGAGGAGCAGCGACCTGCTGCCGTCTTCTTTGCGCCGTAGACTCGTGTGTTTTCTTCCTGTCGTTGGGCGGGGGAATCTCACAATCGATCACAGCCACCCTCCACACCTCGCATTTGCTGGACTGTATCGCCCGCCACCTTGGTAACTGACTGCTCAACCTCTCACAAAATAGTCTCACTACCCGTATCATCTGCCCCGCTGCTGCCCTTCAACCACACCTTGGCAACCTCATATGTCCCAAGGTATAGTCCGCTGCCTAACGCGGTCCAGGCCGCCCGCAGAAGCCCCCCCCTGAACAACCCGTAGACTCCCTTTTCTTGGTAGATCAGCCTCGCCGCCTGCATCCCGTTCAGCCCTTGCCTTCTGACTGCGCTTTCCAGCTGCCTCTGTGTCTCGTGATGGGCCGCCTTCCCCGTGGCCTTCGTGCCCGCGTCCCGCAGTCGTTGCTCCTGCTCCTCGAACCGGGCCCGCTGCTCCCTCTCTTCCCCAGCAAAGAGCATCATCCGCGTCTTAACGGTGTCTGCAGGCGAAGTCACCACCGCAGCTATAGCGCCAGACAGCGCCGCGCTGACCCCGCTGACGTAGCCTGTCTCGAGCAGCCCGCGGGCCATGGCGCCTTGCTCCACCCTCCTCTCGCCGCCGGCTACCGCACCTGGCCCGTCCTTGACCGTCTGCGTCGCGTTCGCCCGCCTGTCGCGCGACTCCCAGATGCATCGTCTGAGGGCTTCGAACATGGGGAACTGCAGCGCCGTAAAGGGCAGGTTCCTAGCTACTAGGGCAGTATACCCCGTCAGAAGTCGACGGGCAGGGCCACCCGCGCCCCCTGGTCCCCACAGCTTCCGGAGCGCCTGGACGGAGGTGCTGTTCCTCCAACCGCCGCCGGGGCTGGGGCCACCACTGGAGCGGATCATCTGCGCGTTCTGCTTGATGACCTCGGCAGGCGTGAGCACGAGACACGACGCCAGCTCGGCAGTGCCCGATGCCAAGGAGTGAACCAGCGGCGTGGGAAGGGCGGCGCCGCCTGGCAAGCTCGCGGAGAGGCCCTTGTAGAAGGGCTTGGTGGCCTCGTAGGTGGTGAAGAACAGCCCGGCGGCGGGAAGCGTGGCGATGACGACGCTGCCAACGCCCTGGTACAGCCCGCGGAAGACATTGCCCGGGGTCTGGCTGGCAGCGGCCGGGCGTGAGAAGGTCTTGAGGTAATCTTGGCTCTGGAGGCGAGTCTTGATTGTGTCCAGGGGATAGACAACAAGGTCGATGGTGAAGGCGGCCGCAGCGCCTGCCTGTGGACGAGAGCAAAGTCAGCCAGGCCAGGATCAGCGTGATGTGTTGGGCACTTACAAGCAGGATTTCTGAGTTTGTGTTGCTCATGGCATCTCACTTGCAAAGGACCATGTCGGCAGACAGGGAGGACGTTGGCGGGGCTGGGAAGTTTTGTCTACATGCTGTTCCCAGGCCCGCCGGACCGGTCCAGATGGATGTCATGGATGTCGGGCGGGAAGAGATCGGCCATCTGGGGTGCTGGTGACGATGACATCAGCTAGCCGTGACAACAGAACGGCGCGAGGCATGTCCCAGGCAATGGTGTGCTCAAGTATTTTGGGATGAACTGTTAATTAGCATTTGAATACACATATCAAGCCATGGTTTATATTGGTCATGGTTTCTTGAAATATTCTTTCATCATCGCTTTCAGGATCTCGTTCTCACGAGTTTGTCGACTGGAAATTTCCCGACATTCACTGCCCGCCCCCCAGAGAATGCTCCTCAAAGTACTACGGTGGTAAGTAGGTTATCGATAAGTCAAGCCCATATGGAAAGTACCAGGCGAGCCAGGCAAGTGGGTAAGAAGAATCGCATACTTGAATGTCACAAGTAGCTCGGCGGGGTTGCAAGGGGAGGCGGCTGGCGGCCAATCAGTGGCTGTGTTCGCCCCACCGCCTTCCACGCCCGGATCCCACGAAAACTGTGCCTGGTGCCCCCAAAATCTTCAACTCGTGACAGGAGCGCCCAGCATCCAGCAGCCAGCACTCAACGCCTGGCACTCATCCTCCAGCTTTCACGACCCTCCCCGCGACCCTTGAAACCCATCGGAAGACAAGTGGCCACAGACAAGACACGAGAACCCGATCACGCCGCAAACATGGCCGAGCCGAGGAAAGATGACGCGATCAAGACGGTCCAGGTCGAGGCCCTGGTGAGTCTCGCCTTTCTCTCTCTCTGTCTTCCCACCCACTTGTCCCAGCCCGGGACGAGGGCTGCGAGAGCCACACATCGCGTCGGGGTTGCTGCCCCCTGTGTCTCTGCCTCGCCCAGCCTGCGTCGCCGTGGCATGACGCCGTGGCAGCAAGACGGACAGGCCTGCTGACAGCCCTCTGTTCCCACGCCCCAGGTCGTCATGAAAATCACCAAGCACTGCTCCTCGTCCTTCCCTACCACCGCGACCGGCTCCCTCGTCGGCCTGGACAACAACGCCACCCTCGAGGTCACAAACACCTTCCCATTCCCAACTATCGATGTCGCCAGCGCCGACTCCCACCAGAACGATGCCTCCAGCCTGGCTGCTGCTGCGCCCCGCGCAAAGGCCAACATCAACTACCAGAACGACATGATAAGGCACCTCAAAGAGGTCAACGTCGATGCCAACAACGTCGGATGGTATACCAGCGCCACCATGGGCAACTTTGTCAACCTGGGCTTTATCGAGAACATGTACCACTACCAGCGCGAGAACAACAGCGTCGTCGCCCTCGTCCACGACGTCAGCCGGAGCTCCCAGGGCTCTCTCAGCCTCCGCGCCTTCAAGCTGACCAGCTCCTTCATGGCCGCTTACAAGGAGAACAAGTTTACCACAGAGAAGTAGGTCTACATATCCATCTCGCGAAGGGTTCCTTTGTCACACCCCTTCGGCGTTGCCTCGCGCAAGCACATCCATGCTGACGGCAACACAAGCCTCCAAAAGACCAAGTTCACCTACAAGGACATATTTGTCGAGCTCCCTGTCCACGTCCACGACTCGCACCTCCTCACTTCGTTCCTGCACCAGCTGCCGCCGCCGCCGGTGAACCCCGAGGTGGAGTTGCCGCAGTCGCTATCTGACATTGAGCGCGCGCCCGTCCAGCTCCCCTCGTACCCATCCCTGGACACGCTCGACCTCTCCATCGACCCGTTCCTCGAGAAGACGTGCGACCTGCTCCTGGACAGCATTGAGTCACACTACACAGACCTCAACAACCACCAGTACTACCAGAGACAGCTGGCCCGCGAGCAGGCCAAGATCACGGCGTGGCAGACGAAGCGCAAGGCAGAGAACGCGTCGCGGGCAGCAGCCAAGCAGGCGCCACTGCCAGAGGACGAGTGGCAGAGGCTGTTCAAGCTGCCACAGGAGCCCAGCCGGCTGGAGGGCATGCTGAACGCGAAGCAGGTGGAGCAGTACAGCAGGCAGGTGGACGGATTCACGGCAAACATCAGCGCCAAGATGTTTGCTGTGCGAGGAAACCTCGTGCCGGAGTAGGCAGGGAAAGGCCCGAGGGGCGCTGTGAGCGACACCGGGCGGCATCGTACGTGGCCAAGAACTGCGGTGCCCGCTGATGGCAAGGGCAGCCGGAGGCTGAAGGTCTGGGCACACACACATGGGCTGCTGCATAGGATCTGGCGTTTGGGAACACAATGAGGCGTGCTGGAATCATGACAACCGATAGAATGGAAGGCCGTAGGGGTGGGGAAGGAGGGGGGAGCACAGCCGCAGAGGCGGGTCGCAGCCAGAGCGAGAGCCAGAGCGCAGAGCCAAAGCTGGAGTCAGAGACAGAGCCGGAGCCGGAGCCGGAGGAACAAGACTCAGCCTGTGGACCGGCGACATATCCGATAGGGACCAGAGCAGGACAGAGCAGCGTAGAGCAAGGAACAAGCGAGGGCGACAGCCAGGGTCGGAGACAGATGATGTGTGATGAGGAGCCTTGGGGCTCTGGTGTTTAATCGTGATACAAAGAACAGAGAAAAGGCAATACATGTCACAGAGCTACGGGCCTGGAGTGAGGAATGCACACACCGTGAGGTTCACTCGAACGCCAGTGTGACTCGGGGTTTCTTGACGGCCACCTGTTGATGCTGCTGTGTACCTAGGTATATCGTACGTCTTGGACACGCCCCGTCTCAACCGAAGGGACAAGGTGTAGTGGCAGTGATCAGATAGAGAGAACCGAAAAGAGAAGGAAAGTCTAGATGCAGGGCCGAGTGAGGAACAATTCAGGGGGCACCGGGCCACCGGGGCGTCGGGGGACCAAGGCATCAGGGCTGACGGGACAAGAGCAAGCAAGAGGAGCGATGGATGGAAGTAGCTTGCTTTGTGGTTGGGCTGCAGTCAGCACGGCAGCCACGGGGATCAATGTCTGCTCGCTGCTCGCTGACCGACTCGACGGGGCAAAATATGCCCTTACGGGAGATAGACTGCAAAGTGGTACCTTGAGCGGTGGGGCTCTGGGCTTACCTAAGCCCCCGCCTTGGTTGAGCTCGGAGCTGGAGAGAGCTGTGGTCTGTGGTCGGTGGCCACTGGTCCCCCTGTCGAGGTTGCCGCTCTCAGGGATCCCCTCCTCTCCCTTCAGTCCGTCAGTCCGTCAGGGTCCCCGCCGAACTTTTCTCTGGCCGTCAACAAAACCCCATCCATCCTCCTCCCTCCCTGCACTTCCTGCTTGCTCCCGACCTCTCACCACTCCCTCCTCGTTCTCATCCGCTCTCCTTTCAGACAGCAGGCATTCTTTGATCATCATCATCGTCATCATCCTCCTCCTCTTGTCCTCGTCCTCGTCCTCGCTTGCTTGCCAGAAGCCACAGCAATAGCAACAGCAGCAGAATCAGCACCGCCTTGTGTAAGTACCTGCGGCACACAGCAGCACAGCTCTCACACCTGCCCGCTACCCCTCCGCGAGCTGCAGGCTTATCCCACTCCACTCCAATTGTCCCCCGTACCGGCTCTCGGGTTTTGGCGGCCCAGCTGGAATCGCCGACACAACTGCACGGGGCTCAGAGTTTTACCACCCTGGCATTTCATGTCGAGTCCCGGCGACAAAACTGCCTTCCAGACCCCGGAATCCATCCCCTCCCTGCCTACCCCTCCCTTCCCTCTGTCCCTCCGTCCCCGTCCCCCTGTGCTCCCCCCTCCAAGCTCTTCGCTGCCATACTACGAGTGCCGACCTTCCTTCCACCTCACCTCACTCTTGCTGTGCATCTCCGACTACCACTCGACTCCTCCTCCTCGACTGCCAGACAGCTAATTGACCATCACAGCCTCTTTACCATCCCACCGTCACAATGTCTGCCCCCGCACAGAAGTTCAAGGTCGCCGACATCTCGCTGGCCGCCTTTGGCCGCCGCGAGATCGAGCTGGCCGAGAACGAGATGCCCGGCCTGATGGCCACCCGCCAGAAGTACGCCCAGGACCAGCCGCTGGCCGGCGCCCGCATTGCTGGCTGCCTGCACATGACCATCCAGACTGCCGTCCTGATCGAGACCCTGACCGCCCTCGGCGCCGAGGTCACCTGGACCTCGTGCAACATCTTCTCCACCCAAGACCACGCCGCCGCTGCCATCGCCGCCGCCGGCGTCCCCGTCTTCGCCTGGAAGGGCGAGTCCGAGGAGGAGTACAACTGGTGCCTCGAGCAGCAGCTCGGTGCCTTCAAGGACGGCAAGAAGCTCAACCTCATCCTCGACGACGGTGGCGACCTGACCCACCTCGTCCACGACAAGTACCCCGACATGCTCAAGGACTGCTATGGTGTCTCCGAGGAGACCACCACCGGTGTCCACCACCTGTACAAGATGCTCAAGAACGGTGAGCTCCTCGTCCCCGCCATCAACGTCAACGACTCGGTCACAAAGTCAAAGTTCGACAACCTCTACGGCTGCCGTGAGTCCCTGATCGACGGCATCAAGCGCGCCACCGATGTCATGATTGCCGGCAAGATCGCCGTCGTCGCTGGCTTCGGCGACGTCGGCAAGGGCTGTGCCCAGGCCCTGCACGGCATGGGCGCCCGTGTCATCGTCACCGAGATCGACCCCATCAACGCCCTGCAGGCCGCCATGGCCGGCTACCAGGTCGCCCCCATGGACAAGGTCGCCAACATCGGTCAGATCTTCGTCACCACCACCGGCTGCCGTGACATCCTCGTTGGCAAGCACTTCGAGGCCATGCCCAACGACGCCATCGTCTGCAACATCGGCCACTTCGACATCGAGATCGACGTTGCCTGGCTCAAGGCCAACGCCAAGAGCGTCCAGAACATCAAGCCCCAGGTTGACCGCTACCTGATGTCTTCCGGCCGCCACATCATCCTCCTCGCCGAGGGCCGCCTCGTCAACCTCGGATGTGCCACCGGCCACTCCTCCTTCGTCATGTCCTGCTCCTTCACCAACCAGGTCCTTGCCCAGATCATGCTCTTCAAGAACGAGGACAAGGCCTTCGGCGAGAAGTACGTCGAGTACGCCAAGTCTGGCAAGCTCGAGAAGAAGGTCTACGTCCTGCCCAAGGTCCTCGACGAGGAGGTTGCCCGCCTGCACCTAGCTCACTGCAACGTCGAGCTGACCGAGCTCACCCCCGCCCAGTCTGAGTACCTCAGCCTGCCAAGCGAGGGTCCTTACAAGAGCGACCAGTATGTCCCCCCCCCCCTTTTTTTTTTCCCACCCCAAACCTCTCCCCGTAATCCCCCTACTTCAGAGGAGAGAAATACTCAAGCACGCCATGCCTTACCATGTATGCTAATCACCGTCGCAGCTACCGCTACTAAGCGTCTCCATGACGCAGTATTTGTATATTGACGCGATTTCCCGGATATTTCAACACCGTGGATTTCGCCCTAATATCTGGGGACTTTGGAGTGCGATTTTGCGCTAGAGGGCACAAGACACCAAAAGCAATGTTTTCAACAGCATCAAGGTCATGGCAATGATCTTTTCTGAACAGGGGCAGCATTCTTGTTTGCTTTGGCGGGTAGGGACAACTTCAAAACGGGTGCTCATGCGGGGGGTGAAGAGAGGCCGGAGGCGGCTGGCTTTTTCAACAAAAACGGCGTTGGGATAAATTATACCTTTGTTGCATTGATATTCCCCCGCCCTGGCTGGAAGGGCGTTTTGAACAACAGTGTGGGCGGCTCGTGACGCTGCCAATCGAGGCCTGGCCTGATCGGCGCGCGACTGGATCAAATCGGTTGGCTCCTCAACGTAGCCGAAGATAGTAGACACGAGATAAATAAAGAGAGAGGAACCCATTACATGCTGTTCTATGGTGTGAAGGGCTCCTGTGAGGGGACGTCTGTCTACGGCGCTCAACTGGTTATATTACGTCTGGGGATAGATATCGTGTCCTTGAGGAGTTGTCCTGAGGTGTAGGAGTTCGTCTTAGACGTCGTGGTCTGAGGCTGTGTGCAGAGTCCACCATGTCCTGTGACAGGGACAAGTCTTCACTCCAGGCGCCTCTGCTCCGGGACGATGCTCTTCAGGCGGCCGTGCAGGATGGCCGTCTGCACGTTTGCCATGGTCCACTCCTCCATCTTGGCCTCGGTCTCGACCGTCCAGGTCCCCATGTGCGGCACCAGCAGGGCCCGGCGGTTCGCCAGCAGGCCCGGGTGGACGTCGGGCTCATTTTCGTAGACATCCAGCCCGACGCTTGCAACCCTGCCCGAGTCCAGGGCCTCGACCAGGGCGGCCTCGTCTATCACGGCACCCCGGGCTGTGTTGACAATAACGACGCCCGGCTTGACCATTGCCAGCTCGCGCGTGGAGATGATGTGCCTGGTGTGTGGCTGTGGACCGTGGTTAGCACACCTGCGGCTCTTGTCGCCGGCCCGGAGAGGGGAAGGGGGCAGAGGGGACGCACGTTGAGGGGAAGGTTCAGGCTCAGCACGTCACTGTGCTTCAGCAAGGTGTCGAAGTCACAGTACTGGGCGCCCCCGAGCTCCCTCTCGACGTCCTCGGCCAGCCTGGTCCGGTTGTGGTAGAGGATCCTCATGCCGAAGGCCAGGGCCTTCTTTGCCATGTTGCGGCCTATGCCGCCCATGCCGATGATGCCCAGGCTCTTGCCCTGCGGGTCATGGCCCAAGTCGGGCAGCGACCCGTCCTGCTCGCGGCCACGCCAGCCTCCCTGCCTGAGGTTGTGCATGCCCAGGGGGAAGTTCCGCAGGGCCCCGAGCATGAGGAACATTGCGGTGTCGGCCGTGGCGTCGTCGACGGCGGTGGGCACGTTGGACACCTTGATGCCGCGGTCGGTGCAGGCGGGGACGTCTATCTGGTCAAACCCGGCGCCGTTGTGGCATATGAACCTGAGCGACGGCGGCAGGGCCAGCACAAGCTCCGAGTCGATGCGGCCCGTGATGGACACGGACCCAAAGGTGCGGTAGGCCACCAGGCACCCGTCGAAGGCCCCCGAGGCGGCCTCCACCAGGAAGCCGGCCCTGTCGGTCGACTTGGGCACGACCATGTCGGCCAGACCGCCGACTGGGAGCTGTGTCAGCGGTCTGCGTAGTAGGGGTTCGGAGCCGGAGCCGCGTGTGCCTGGCTGGTCCTGATACAAGATGGGACGAGGGTGGGAATGCCGGTGAGGGAGGGGAGGGGAGGAAGGAGGGGAAACAGGGCTCCCCCTCGCCCGTCTCTCCGGTCACTTACTTGCATCCCAGGTATCGTGCGCGTGTTCTATCACGCCGAGCTGGAGCACCCTGGAGCGTGAAGGCGCCATTTCCGGCTGGGCACATGCACTCACTGGCTCTTATGCCACCTGCGCTGAATATTCGAGGGGTCGGGACGAACAAGTGGGGGAGGGCAGAGAGATGCAGCGGGCTAGGCGAGAATGTGTGTTGGACTTGGAGGGTCAAGGACGGCCCTTATCCAGTATGTGCTATAGCCGGCCCAGCTGGCGGGCTGCTTGCTATATACATATGTCAACGGCGTCTCGGCCCTGAGTGATTGGGGGTGGTCGGTGGATCAGACCGCGAGGTGAGCGGCGACAACGTGACTGACCCTGACGCTGCCGGCAGCTCCTCACCAGCCCCTGACTCACTTAGCACTCACTCACTCACTCACTCACCTATTACTCACAGATTTACTCACCCACTTGCTCGCTCTTTCACTGTCCTCACACAAGACTGTGGTGTGACCAGGAGCTACAATAGAATGGGTATTGCATTTGGCGGCACGCCGGGCGTCACCATCTTACCCCACACTTTCACGCTTCACTGTCTAATTTACTGTCAACGGCCCGGGGACCAAACGTCGTCGGCCTGAGACCGGACCGGCTCACCCCCTCCAATGCCCTGGCACCACCTCCTGATGGACGACCCACTCTGTTGCTGACGCACAATACTGCGGTACAAGCTTCTTGGTCTTTTCCCCCCATGACATCCTCCTCATATCACACGGCCAAGGCCCCCGAGCAAGCGAGTGCATGTGTAGTTTAGTCGTGGAGATACCTCTGACAGGCTCCTGTTGTGTTAATTAAGATTAACAATGCAGCGGTGGTCGACCATCGCCATACACTGACTCACGGTCGATGCTGCATCTGTCTCCCCCTTTTTGTTTGGCTGACTGACATATACCCAGATGCTCCGTCATCTATCCAGCCGTCACTGTTCCCCCCTTCCCAGCCCACTCGCGATCAATGCTGTATATAATACAAGTGTGCGCTTGTTTGCCCTTCACGGGTCATCACCAGCCAAGATATGTAAACGCCCCCCTTCTCCCAAGAAAGGAAATCAATCAAAACAATCGCTCACGTAGACGCCAGCCGTGTCACCAGGCCTGAAACTGACGCACCGATGTCACCTCGTCTCCAACAGGAATGCAATGTTTTGTTTCTCGTCGTTGCCGGCGACACCGTCATCGTTAACGCTAGGGCGTGGTCCCGTGGACGAGTTACACACAGGAGTCGAGAGGATGGGTGGCAAATGCCACAATGAGAACTTAGTATTTACGCGCAATGTTGAATCCAGGGTTGACGAGCGCTCGGAACGCGACAAATGTAAGCTGGCGAATAACGTTGGTCGTGCCGCCCGTTGCAGAGGCCTCTGCCTTGATGAACTGCGTGGCCACGTGGAGCTTGTTGCGCGGCTCGCCCTCGTCCAGGTGGTCTGGGATCTTGTTCTCATAACCGGGCCCGAAGCGCGGGCCGAGGTCCCGTATGACGGCTAGCGAGTAGAGCACGTCGCGGTTTTCTCGACCATCCAGCAGGCTTCGGAGCCTCTGGAGATGCTGCTCCCGCCCGGCCTGGTCCTGGAGCCGCAGGAACTCGGCCAGTGAGTACCAGAACTCGTACTCCTTACGTCGATGCTGATCCGCATTTCGGGGAGGCGGGATCAGAGGGTTTGACGCTAGGGTCTCGCCGTTCAAAAGTGCCTCAAAGACATGAACGCGGTTCTGCGACATCCATGGTTAGCTAGCTGCTGGAACATCAGGTAAAAAGTTTAATCTAAAAAGGTATCTACGACGCAGGCGCACAAGGGGTTTCCGGGGGCTGCTTACACGAGTCTCACTGGGGTTGTTTTCCGGCAGAGGGTCATCACGTGGCATGTTGACCCCGGAGGGGATCGTGTATGCCAGCTTGGCCAGAGCCCAAACAACCCGGGTTTCGAGATGTCCGCAGTAGGAGAAGTGGTTGGGATCAGCATTGACGGTGTGCAGGGAGACGAGGAAGCTGCCCAAGAGGGAGATGAGGGGGTCGTTGTGGAGAAATATGGAAATAGAATTATGGCCCTGGCTCTGGAAGTTGAACCATTGCGACTCGAAGAATTGGCAGAGACCAGGAACGTAGATCTCATAGTAGATCTTTGTGAGCTCCTCGACAGACTGCGGCGTCGGCCTCAGGCTCGTCTCGATCCGAGGCGCGGCGCCAGAGTGGTCGATGATCTCATCGACCTTGAGCATCTTTACTGAGCAACTTGAGTAAGCGTGTGTGCCTGCTGGGGGGCGGATGAGGTTGAGAAAGGGGAGCGGCCACCTCTGAGCGGTGCCTCTCCGGGCTGCAGCACGGTGAAGTCGGTGGTGGGAGACGGGGCGGCGGTGAGTGAGGCGGGAACGGCGGCAGAGGCAGCAAACGCAGGAGGTCCGGCCTTGTCCAAGGCCGGGTCAATTTCGACGGGTGGCCTGGCGGGCTCAAATGGTTCCGTCTTGACGGTGGCGCTGTCGTCTGATGATTCGCGAGCGGCGGGCGGATCACTTGGGGTTAGCACAGGCGTCGGATGGGTTGTGTACGGGGCAGGAGCACCCGAGGGAGCCGATGGCCCGGCTGCAGATATCGTGGAGGCGGGTGGCGAGGGGCCGCCGCTGGGGGCAGGCTGGAGCGCCGAGGGGGTTTGCTGCTGCTTGAAGATGGGATCGTAGCCCAGACACTCGCGCTTCGACTTCTTGCAGTTGTTGCAGGTGGGGTGTGTCTCGTCACACTAAGAACCGCCAAAAGGCAGGCAGAGTCAGCTCACAAAGGCCGGCAACACACAAGCGTGACAATTTGGCGTCGGTGGCGGGCGATGCGGATGTGGGGAGGCTGGATTGGGCTGCGTTGATCTTGATCTGGTGCTGGTGCTGGTGCTGGACGTGGTTCTCGGATGACCGAGGACGCGACGGGACGGGACGAAGTTTTGGCGGGGGTGCCACTACCCCCCTCGTCCATCCGTCGCGTGCCCACTCGCGCCGTGACAAGGATGATAGCAGTTCCTGCTTGACACCGTTGCTCGCTTGCAGAATAGCGCCCACCCGGGACTGTCTGCACTGCACCGTTCCAAGAGGCAAACAGAAAGGGAAAAGAGGAATCAGAGCTGAAAAGGAGGGGAAAAGGGGAAGGGGGAAGCAGAAATAAAACAAGACGGAAGCCGGAAGGCTTGCAGAAGCCGCAGGAGAAGGACAAGCAAAGTCCAAGACAGGTAGGTGGCTGGCAACAGTTCGGGCAGGCCAGAAGACGTGAACCCAGTGCGATGCAGGCCAGGCTCAGACGAGGCCCGTCCGCCGGCGCTCATCACACATCGCATTCAACTGATCAACAAGCAGGGGGCGGGACTACGACTGTCTTGGCTTGGTGGAGCGCTCCTCTTCATTGCTAAAGCGCCCGCGCCCTCGCCCTCGTCCTCGCCCTCGTCCTCGCCCTGAGGCCGCTTGCCACTCCCTGCCCCTATTGCCTCAAAAACGGGAATTTGAGCTGGCAAGGCACTGGCTGTCGGACCGGCTGAGTGACGATGCAAGCAAACCATCTTTAGGTGCCGAGGCGCTGCCGGGCGTGCTCAATGCCGTGTCCAAGGCAAGCGTGTGCCTTGGACGCGCTTTGCAAAGGGAAACGGCAAAATCTAAAAGGACTGCGAGGAACGTACCTTTATCCGTCGTTTCCGGCACGTTAAACACCCAGTCTTGGTCCGACGCTTGATCTCCTATTAGCAACCGAGCCCCACCGTCAGCAACACCCAGGGAAAGAGCGAAAGA